ATGAGATAAGTTCATTATGAGCTAAATTTGAAGTTAATTGGATTCACATCTCCCCCCATTAGTGTACGTAGAGAGAGCCTACGTAGAAATGGGCTGTATATGAAAAAGAGGAAGTTGCATCCAAGCAAAAGACAGATAAATGAGGCCTGGTTTTCTTGTGGCTTTCCACGGTGAAGGGCTTTCTGAGACGTGGTGAGATGGGAACCAAAGTTCCTTTCAGATGGTAGAACCAATGTCTTTGATTAATTTTCACCGTGGCGGGTATTTTCTAAGTACCTACTATGTGCCCTGCCAGGGCAGGGGAGGGAGGGTGGGAGCAGCTCTTGCAATCTAGGGACCCCCAGTTTAGGGATGGGGAAAGAGCAAGTGCCCCGTGTATTGGGGGAGTGTCAGGGATCTGGTGCCAGAATGCTTGGGTTTGGCCATGCCTCTTTCACGAGCTGAGAGACCCTGGGCAGGTGCCTAACCTCTTATGTTTTAGTTCCACATCTGTAAAATGGGGATAATATTTGACCTATAGAGTGAGGATTAAATGAGTTAATATCTATAAAACACAGTGAACAGTGTTCAGAACTCTGCCTAGTGTTAGAACAGGGCCTACAGTACAGTAAGTGCTGCAAAAATGTTAGCGATCATGATCATCAGCTGTGTGACCTTGGGCACATACATCAGCTGCTTGGAGCCTTCATCTCTTCATCTGTAGAATGGGGATGATAACAGCAGCCACCTTCTGGGGTTGTTGACTGAGATAAGCCCTGTGACATACTGGCCCAGACCCTGGCTCATAGGAACCTCGAAGGAAGCTATTGTTCTGTTGGTTGACCAGTCACCCAACAAATAACAGTTTTATGTTCCTGAGTTTTGCCCATTTTTCTATGATATTTTTGGTCTCTTCCCTTTGATTCTTATGAGTTTTTGATATATAGGGATAGTAGCCATTTATCTATGGTTTATGCTGCAAATAATTTCCTCCAGTCCACCATTTATCATTTGACTTTGCTTATATTGTTTTCTGGGCTTCCCTGGTGGCTCAGTGGTAAAGATTCTGCCTGCAATGCAGGTAGCTGCGAGAGACATGGGTTCAATCCCTGGGTTGGGAAGATCCCCTGGAGGAGGGCATGGCAACCCACTCCAGTATTCTTGCCTGGAGAATCCCACGGACATCGGAGCCTGGTGGGCCACGCCTATTGGGTCACAAAGAGCTGGACATGACTGAAGCAACTTGGCACACACATATTGTTTTTTACCAGGCAATAGGGTTTTGGTCTATTTTATTAAGTGATTCAATTTATTAATCTTTTCTTTTGCTGTGTATTTTTTCCATAAAGACAAATTTATTTGGTTTAAGAAACAGTTTAATATTATGTCCTTCCTACATTTTTGGTGTCAAATGACTTTTTCTTTTTCAAGATGATGGTGATGATTGATGGCAATAATAAAACGTAACAGTACTATTGAGATATAATTCACATACCATAAAATTCACCCAATTCATACAATTCAGTGGTTTTTAGGACACTCACAAAGTCATGCAACCATCACCATGACCAATTTTAGAACATTGCATCATCCCCCCAGAAAGACCTCATATCCATTAGCAGTCACTCTCTTTCCCCCATTCCCCACTCCCAACCTAAGGCAACCACTAATCTACTTTTTCTCTTTATAGATTTACCTATTCTGTACATTTTATATTAATGGAATCATACAATATGTAGTCTTTTATGATGGGCTTCTTTCAAGTTCATCCATGTTGTAGTATGTATCAGTACTTCATTCCTTTTTATTGCTAAGTATTATGTTGTATGAATATACACTGTTTTCAGTATCCATTCATCAGTTGATGGATATTTGAATTGTTTATATTCTTTTGGCTATTATGAATAATAATATGTTGCTTGAAGCATACATGTACAAATTTTGAGTGGACACATGTTTTCATTTCTCTTGGGAGACACTGTAATGCTATGCTTAACTTTTTGAGGAACTTCTAGACTTTCCTAAAGTGGCTACACCATTTTATATTCCCATCAACAGTGTATAGGGGTTCCAACTTTCCACATCTTTTCTAACACTGTCATAACCTATCTTTTTTATTATAGACATCCTAGTGGGTGTGATGTGGTATTTCATTGTGGTTTTGATTTGCATTTCCCTGATAGGGAATTGGCCGTTTTTGTATATCTTTTTTAGACAAACGTGTTTTCAAGTCCTTTGCCCATTTTTACACTGGGCTGTTTGTCTTTTTATTATTGAGCCATAAGTGTTCTTTAATTTTAGCCAGTGCCTTTTCCATAGCTTTTGATATAATCATATCAAATATATTAATTTGAATATATTAATGTGAATTTTTGACATATTAATGTGAATTCCCAACCAATGTTTTAATATTGAAGCAACCTTGTGTACCTGAAATAAAGCTTACTTGGTCATGGTGTACTATTCTATCTCTATATTGCTTCATCAATGAGATAGTAGATTTTTTTTGCCTGCATATTAATAAATTGTGAGACCAGCCATTAATTTTCATTTTTGAGTGACTTTGTTAAATTTTTATATCAGGATTTTGCCACATTGGCAAAATGAACATTTTCTTAGCTTTATGTATCCTGGATCAGCTTAATAATAGAAGTGTGTGTTCCTTGAAGTTTTTTTTTTTTTTTTCATTTATTTTTATTAGTTGGCCTTGAAGTTTTAAAAAAACTTTCCAAAGACAAAAACAAATGCCCCCAAAACTACATGGACAAGGCACCTTATTTTTAAAAATAACTTGAAACAACCTTTTCTGATATGATTGGGCTGTTAATATTTTCTACCTCTTCTTGAGTTAATTTTGGTGATTCATGTTTTCCTAGAAAATTGTGCCTTTTGACGAGATTTCCACATTTGGTAGCATAGAGCATCCATGCATGTTTCTATGTTTTTTAAATGTCATCTTTCCCATATCTCTGGCTGTATCTTCTCATTCCTTATCTTGATATTTGTGCCTTCTTTTTTTGAGTCTTGTCCTTGGTTTGTCTATCTCATTGGTCTTTTCAGATAACAAACTCTTGGTTGTATTTATTATTTATTATTGTGTTTTTATTATTGTGTCTGCTTTTCTGGTTCCTAATTCATTATTTTCTGCTTTTCTTTATCAATTCCTTCCTCCTCCTTTCCCTAGGTTCATTTTATTGCTTTTTTATCTAGCTTCTTGAGTTGAGTGCCTTGGCGAGGCACTGCATTTCCGCTTTGGGGATCAGGGTTTAAAGCGTATGTAACCGCGGCAGAAACTGTTGAGGTTCAGATATGACCGAAAGGACAACCCCTGTTGAAGAAAGAACCAAAGTCCCAGGAAACAGGAGAGCTGGATTCTAGTCCCAGCCTTGCCTGAAATGAGGAGAGTGTCATGGGCAAATCCCTTCCCTTCTCAGGACCCTCTTATTCCATCTCAGGCAGATGGGTGGGATATGGACCTCCTGGGGCTTGTTCCAGCAGGCAGCGTCCTATCAGGGTAACGTCTCCATCTTCCAGGAGGCAGATCTGGCCTCCGTCCTCCACTGTGGTCCTTGCTTTCATTCCAACACATATATTACAAAAGCTGTGTAGCTGGATTTCTCTCTGCATGATGGAGTGAGCCGGTGACAGTGTGGCCTAAATGCAGGGCTCAGCCTACGGTCCCAGCTGAGAAACGGGGGACAGAAGCCAGGCACATGTGCAAGGCAGTAGAATAGAATGCCTAAACCCATGGTCTTTGCCACTGGATTGCTTGGCTTCAAATCCTTACTGTGCAACCTTGGACAAATTGCTTGACCTTTCTGTTTCATTATCCTATAAACTGGGGGAAGTATCAGTACCTTACCTCATAGTGTTGTTGAGGGTTAATGATTTGAAAGACTGAAAACAGAGCCTGGTGTTTACAGTTTCTACATAAACCTTTGTGGTTTGTTGTCACCAAGGGTGTGAGCCTGGGCCCAGGGCTGGGTTGGGTGTTCTACCCAGAGCACCTTCCGGTAGGGAAGCCAACCCGTTAGAACAGCCCCAGCCTGGGCTGTCTCTACACATCTCATAGTCTGACAGAAGGGGCATCCCTTTCTTTTAGGGGCAACTGCCAATTCCTCCCCCCAGGGTGGGGTCTCGTCCTCAGAGCTCAACAGGCAACCACGAACAGTCCCATCTTCCTGGGTCTGGATTGTTGCTCTTATGCGCGAGCACCTTAGTACATACGTGAGATCATCAGTGTTTGGAGAGCTATAGGCCCGCTCTTTCCCTGAGCGCCGAACCTCAGGGCCCTTTCAGAGTTCTGCTGCTTTGGGGTTTTGTTCCACTTGGCCTGGAACCTGGACCGTTCACTCACCCGTTTATTCACAGAGACCCACTAGGTGCCGAGCCCTGAGGTGGAGGTGGGTTTCTGGGTGTTGAGTGAGGTGTCATCCCTGCCCTCGGGAGCTGGCAGTCTGCGATGAGGGGGACACATGCCCGCTGGACGTCTGCCCCCAACGGCCGAGGCCTTAACCTCCACGTCCCAGAACAGTGTCTGGTGTCACGAGGCGCTTCCTGCGCCATCACTGAATGAGTGACAGGCTCTTGGTCCAAAGAGGAAGAAGTCAGTAAGGACCGGATTTGGGTCTGAGGCAGGCAGAGCCCTGCCCACTGTGGGTGGCTGGGAGATGGCTGAGCTGCTCTTGGAAGATGGTGGCGCTGGGCCATGTGCGGAAGACCCAGCAGGCGCCACGGTGTGTTGACGGAGTCCAAGCCCTACTTGGGGAGCAGAGAGCAAGGGGTGTGGTCGGAGCTCTGGCTTCCCAGGGATCCGACCGAGCCATTCTGGCTTCCCGCTGGTGGAGCCCGGCTGGAGGAGTGGGTGAGTACGTGTGTGCGCGCACGCGCACGTGCGTGTGCACGTGCACACTGGCGTCAAGCATCCAGACATGTCAAATGTGCAGATGTCGGGGGAGCCGCGGACGGAGCAGCTGGCCGTGGGGGTGCTCACCCTGTGATTTGTTGCTTTGACTCCTCAGGCCGCGACTTGGCGAGCACGACCCTCCCTGGGTACCCTCCGCACGTGCCCCCCGCTGGACAGGGCAGCTACTCGGCGCCGACGCTGACGGGGATGGTACCTGGTGAGTCTGCACTATCTGCGTCTCTGCAGCAGGAGGCATTTGGGGTTCCTGGGGGGCATCCCTCCCCACACGGTCCCAGTGACCTCCCTGCTTGGGAGGAATGAACCTGAAAAAATCAGGCTGAGCTCTGCCTTCTTGGCCTCTTTGTCAACCAGCGGCAGCACCTGGGAGGGTATCAGAGACGGGGGGTCCTTGACTGTCCCTTAGACGCCCCTCGCTGGCCACGCAGGGACCCTGAATGCAGAGGGGCACGGGACCTGGCTGAAGGTTGGAGAGGGGCTGTGTGCGTGCTAAGTCGCTTCAGTCGTGTCGGACTCTTTGCGACTGCCTGGATGGTAGCCCGCCGTGCTCCTCTGTCCATGGCATTCTCCGGGCAGGAATGCTGGAGTGGGTTGCCATGCGAGAGGAGCTGGGGCCTCCCGAGCTGCCCGGCAGGTAGGAGGCGGAGCCACAGCGGAAGCCCTGGCCCAGCCTGAGCCACCCTGAGGCCCTGCAGGAGGCCCCTGCTCTGGAGCCACCCCCTCCTGGCGCAGAAGTGCCCCTGTGCCTGTGGACTGAGGCGTCTGCGGGCCAAGGGGCTGCGCCCACGTGGGGCCCGCACCCCTCCTTCCAGCCCACCCGGGAGCCTTCCCAAACAGCCCTAAGCCCCTTCCGGCTTCTCGCCAGCCCACATCACCGACATGCACACCCTGGGGCCCAGGGTTGACTCTTAGTGGGCAGTGTGGACAAAGTGTGGACGTGAAGCCTGGGTGTCCACACCCGCGTTCGAGGCCGGTGAAGACAGCAGGCTGGGCGTGGGGAAGGAAGCCGGGCAGATCAGGGCTCAGGTGGGCCTTCCCCATCCAGCCAAGGCCGGGCACAGGCTCTGAGGAGACCCAGAATTCTAAATTCTCTCCTGGCCTTCCAGGTTATTACGGAGATTATTTAACAAGGTAGGAGGACAGAGCATATTTCATTTAACGGTTTGTTAGCTTGATTTATGACTTTTAAATATGAGACATATGGGAAATGGCCTCTGTGTGTACTCTTGCCCTGGGCCTTGCCAACACCGGGGAGGCCTGCCAGATCCATGCCTGCAAAGGCTTAGCCTTTTCTGCCTCCAGGAGGGGTCTCGGCAGAGCCACTGTGCTCAGGGCAAGAGCGGGAGGCGGCGGGACACACACCCTCCTGCCTGCCTCCACCCCCACTGTCTGCCAGCCCTCAGCAAGTTAGGACTGCCCAGGAACTTCGTGGCTGTGGATCACTTTGTCAGGTGCGAAGTGCTTGCCCAGGAGCCCTGCGGTGTTACAGCCTGTGAGGTGGGCAGGGTCCCCAGGGTCAGAAGGAGGCTAGTGAGACTCAGAAGAGTTAGGGAGCTGCCCACAGCTGCAGAGCTTGGAGGTGGGAGGTCTTGAATCCAGGTCTTCTGCCCCCCAGTTCGGCACTCCTGGCCTCTGCGACCCTGTGCACCCTCCGTCTGTCGATGCTTGCTTCGCAGTGATGGCAGAGGGGGAGGTGGCAGCCCCAGGTCCAGCCCTAAGGGCATGTGGGTGGCGAAGCGGGGCCGCTCGGCTGACCCTGCCGGACCCTGCTGCCAACTCCAAAGAGGCCGAGTTCAGAGCAGCAGCTGAACTTGCCCAAGTTTATCCAGACAGAGGTGCCCTCCAGCCCCTGGGATTCCTGCAATCCTAATTACCAGGCTCAGGATACAAGCAGCCAGCGGTTCTGGGGGTTCCGGCAGAGCCCCCAGCAGGTAGCATTGATGGTGGCAGCAGGAACCACAGGCCTGCACAAGAGCACAGCCCCACGGGTCCTACCAGCAGCCACTGGCCGTGGCGGCCACGGAGCCCGCCCACGGTCCCCTGGGGCTCTGCAGAGAGGGAGGCTGCGTGGAGAGGAGGAAGGGAGACAGGCGTTCTGGCAGGGAGGCGCCACGTCTGTCTCGGCACCCTCCCTCCTCCTGTTTTCCTTCTCTGCCCGCTTCCTCTTCTCACGCAGCCCCAGCGCTCACTCAGCACCAGACCTGGTGTCGGGGCCACGACTCCACGCTTAGCAAGCAGGCCCTTAGCTCCTGTTCCCCCTGTCCACAGCAGCGTCACATCTCTGGGAGTCTGTCTGCAACAGGATTTCCAGACGCATTCTTGGATGGCTTCATGGGGGCAGCACTGGCCCACACTCGTGGTCTTTGCTGGAACGCCCCAGATCTAGCCCACCTTTCAGCACCGTGGGTCCTCTGCCTTCCTCGTCTTCCGCACCCCTCATAGCCCATAACACAGAATAGGTCCTTTTATGTGAGTGTCTGGCTCAAGGCAGGAGGGAGGGAAAATTAATATTGGCCTGCGTATGAATTTCTTGTGGCTGCTGTAACAAGTTACCACAAACTTGGTGACTTAGGACAGTGGGAAAATTTCTCTCACAGTCCTGGAGCCCAGAAGGCTGAAGTCAGTATCACTATATGAAACAGCCCTCCCTCCCAGCCTGGAAGTGAATCCCAAGGGAAACCGAAATCTTCGGAGCTGTTTTTCCTACCCTAGGTTCTGGGAGGGGCTTCCCTGGTGGCTCAAATAGTAAAGAATCCACCTGTAATGGGGGAGACCTGGGCTTGATCCCTGGGTCAGGAAGATCCCCTAGAGGCGGGCATGGCAAACCACTCCAGTATTCTTGCCTGGAGAATCCCCGTGGACAAAGGAGCCTGGCGGGCTACAGTCCATGGGGTCACAAAGAGTCAGACACAACTAAGCGACTTGGCACAGCACAGCATAGGTTCTGGGAAACATTTGGCTGCTACCTCTTCCATTATAAGAGAGACTTCCATAGATCAAGTTTTCTTTTAGAATACACTGAAAAGGGATTATGTCTGGGGTCCCCTTGGGTAGTTGAATTTTGGGGCCTGGAAAAATAGTATGTTTTTCCATACGAACCACAGTCTTGGTGAATTTCACCTAGACTCCCGTTTTCTCAAATTTGGTTCTGCTGTCGGGGTTGTCCACCCTCTCTGATTTCAGGATGTGTTCACATACGCAGATCAGGGCGACTTGGTCTGCTCGAGCGTTTGTAGATTCAGTTCCTGTGGCTCTGCCAACCCCACACAGCCCTTGGCTAATTAGTTATGTTGAACAAAGCAAACACGGCACATCACAGCAGCTCAGCATGGAGACAGTTTTCAGATTTTATTTTCCTCAAGTTCCAGCAAATGCCAAAAGTTTTGCACCAAAGATTCCATAGTGTCTTGACCAGTGTAACTAGTTGATTCCCGCCTGAAGGTATTTGCACAACCTAACAGATATTGACATGGCATTTGAAACTCTTAAAAATTCTGGGCTGGGGGAAAGATGGAGGCGTTCACTGCCCTTTGGCTTCAGTGAGTCTAAGAAGCAAGGTAACCGACTGTCTTTGAGATGAACTCGCCTCGCCCCGTACCCCTTACTGGACTCCTCTTTGGGGGCTTCAGGCCAAAGTGCCAGGAAATCCTGACCGTGTCGTGTTTACCTCCCCTGGGCTGCAGCAGACTCGCAGCTGTTTGACGAAGGCCCTAGAAGGAGCCTGGGGGGCTTCTGTCCTGGAAGCTCTGCTCACTGTGGATGGGTGTGCATCACCTCTAGATGCCATTCTTGAAATCGCTCAACTGGTGGCTTTCTTGAAGAAGTGGGAGGTGATGGTGAGGTTGGAGTGGACTGCTGAGGCCAATGAGGTAGTGTGGGCAGCACCGGGTCCCGGACTCCAGTGGGGGGGATGGAGGCAGCTACTCCCCCCACAGGGGCGGTTCCTCGGCTTGGTGCACTCAGCCCGCTCTATTACTCCCACTTTCACTGGCCCAGACTGCCTGGCTCCCTCTCACTCCCGCGTTTTCACCTAACGCTTCACCAAATGTGTGTTAGTTTCCTCTTGCTGCTGTGACAAGTCACTGCAAATTAGTGACTGTCTTAAAACAGCAGTCATTTCTCATTTTATGGTCCTGGAGGTTGGGAATCCAAACTGGGTCTCCCTGGGCTGAAGTCCAGGTGTCAGCAGGGCCGTGTGCCTTCTGGAGGTCACCCAGGGAGAATCGTTTCCTGCCTTCCTCAGCTTGTAAATGCTCCGCATCCCTGGCCTGAGTCTTTATCATGCCGCCATCTTCCAGGTTTGCTCTCTCCTGCTCCCTCTTCCTCTTAGAAAGACCCTTGTGGTTTTAATGGACTCACCTGCTTAATCCAGGATAATCTCCTTATCTTCAGGTCAGCTAATTAGCAACCTTAATTCCCCTTTGCCATACAACCTGGTCATGAGTTCCAGGGATTAGGGTGCAGATATCTTTGCTGGGTGGAAGTGTTATTCTGCCCACCACACCATCTAAACCAAGACCCCCATCACACCCTTCTCAAGGCATTCTGTTCTTTTCATTCATTATTTAAGCACCATGGGAGGAATTTAATTTAATTCGTTTATTCCTTCCTTGTGCAGTTCCCCCCAGGTCTGCACAGTACTCGAGGGTTATACGGCACACGAGGTTCGGTCTGTCTCTGTGTCCCTGGTTCCTGGCAGAGTGCCTGGCCCATAGTGGCACTCAGGCAATAGTAGATACCATTCAGAAGGGGGTGGGGTGGGGGGTGGGGGTGGCTGGGCTGCCTGGGAGAGCTCAGCTGAGTACTCCAACAGTGCAGCCACGGAGGCCGAGGGCCCACGGTGGCAGCCGCGTGGTGAAGCAGGGAGCCTGGTGCTTGAGAGCAGGGACCTGGAGCCGGGCTGCCTGCTTGTGCATCACCCTCCTGCTTCTCACCAGCTGTGTGACTTGGGGCAAGTTATATAACTTCTCTGGATCCTTATTTCTGCCTCATCTATGAAATGGGGGTGATGATAATAAGAATGAGGATTAAATGATGTGCAGTTGGCCGTCTGGATATATGGGTTCGGCATTCGTGGATTCAACCAACCATGGATAGAAAATAGAAAGAAATTCCAGAAAATTCCAAAAAGCAAAACTTGAGTGTTAGCAACTGTTTACATAGCACTCACATTGGATTAGGTATTGCAGTTTATCAAGA